AAATACACAATTAAATAAATTTGTTTTTATTAAATTATTCATCTACATCGTTCAAATCTGTGTTCCTAAAGAGTTCAAGTAGTTCGGGATCTTCGGGGTGTTGTTGTAGTCTTCTCTCTGCATGAGTCAAATCTCGTAAACACGTTATCACTTCAATCACCTCATTGGTTAAACAGTATCTTCTGTCTTCAACAATCCAGCCACTCATTGAGAATGCCGACTCGAATGCAATTGTGGAAACCAGCACAGATAAAATGTCACGTGCCATTTGGGCTACAATGGGGAATCGACTTTGTTATTGGTTCCACCATTAAAGCACATCTATCTCACGTTACTCCTTCTTCATCATGCAGGACATGTCCATTTGTAAGCAGCGATTTAGCTCATTTGGTCCATGATGTATGTATGAGTTAGAGCTGCTACTTCCACCATGTTCCATATACGTCCACATACTCAATCCTTGATAGATGTCTTCATCAAGGTCCTACTGGTCGTCTCTGCTGGACGTTCCAGTTCCACTTCCATTGTACGTGCTCTGATATAAAGAAAAAAGGCTTTCCAATTTTAGCTTAAAGTTAATCAAATATGATGCATAATCATGTCCTAAATGCTGGCCTACCTCAGTAATTATACAATTAACTACGTGTAATTTAAACCTAGGATCTACAACAAGGCCTAATCCATATAAGAATGGAATATCTAACCAATATTTCTCTTTTTTTTTTTTTTTTTCCTATCTTTGAAACAATTTCCATTAAGACGTCATTATATCTATATTTAGCAAAGGTTTTAGAAGTTTGAAGTAAAATATCTAACGCTAAATTAGTAATAGGATAATAAATACCACTTAATGTATTAGTGGAATCATAAAAAACTTTAAGAAATGAATAAAAAAGTTCACAAACTGTCCAATCATCATAGCTAACAACTTTCTCCGAATAGTTCTTCTGGTTGATGAAATCTATAATTTGTTTTGCGGTTGGCAAAGCTTTTTCCAGCATCAAGTAGGTGGAGTTCCAACGGATAGTTATTGAGTACATTGTATTGCCCCTCATGCTTGGAGTGCATTGTATTGCCATGTTGACAGAGTTCAAAATTGTTGATTAAAATTATGTTGAGTTTGAATTTGCTTACCGGGTCCGGTTGAAGATAAACTAGAAAGTTGCATTATTTGGGGGTGTTTCTTCTCCAAGTGTCATCGCATCGTCGAAGTCCCCTTCTCAGCATCGATAATGGTTCCATAGAAATTATATACCCCACACAATTCTTCCCCCTCCTTATTTGTCTGTGCCCATTTTGATTTGGTGAAGTTTGTTATACATCGAACACGGCCCTCTTTGACAGTTGGGGGGGTTGGGCCGTGGAGTCGCAGCTCACTTGTGTTTGGCTGCAACCCGTCCCGACCAAATATGGTTGTTGAATTGAAGTTGCTGCCTCTGGAAAGGGTGAAAATGGATCGAACCCTTCCATTTCTTTGGTGGATGAAATGTAAAACTCATTTGGGGATGATCCTCTGAATGCATAATTTTTTTTGGGTAAAGGTAATTTATAAAGAATAAAAGAATGAATCCCCAAAAAAGGATCCTTACAAAAACAAGGTCCTAAGATAGGTCCAAGCAAACAAACTAAACAAAAGCAAAAGGAACGCATGGCTAAACAGTCCAAAATAACCACCTAACTAGCCGCAATGAGGTCTATACAAAAAAAGCCAGAGCACAAAAAGCATTGCAGAACTTCAAGAGAACAAAAACGGCACATGCTATACACAAAAAAAGCAGCCACAAAAAAGAAGCGCAGACCCAACAGCCCAAAAGAAAAAAACAAACCAGCAAGGATTGCTGCCCCAAACAGAAAGAAACCCAAAACCACAGTTGCAAAATTCCAGGTTCATAACTCTGAACATAAACATCCCACCAGTGAACCATCCAGCCCTGCCAACAAAAGACTGCATACCCTTGCATATATACACCATTTACAACATAATAACCTACACATCCAACAAAATAGATTTTGCCCTCCCCCGCAAAATTACTCAAATAACGCAGCACAATAGCCTGCAAATAAACACCACTGATAGCATAAAAGCCTGCATAACCAACAAAATAAAATTTGCCCACCCCTGCATAATTGCTCAAATGACAGCACAACAGCTTCCAACAAGTGACAAACACCAAAGAAAGACCAAGCATCATATACTTTTCCCCACACCATATACTCCCCAACTCAAAATTCAAAAACCAAAGAAAAACTAAACAGTTGTGGTAATTGAACAGAGGACAAAAACAGTTTAAAGAAAGCTCCATCCGCCAGTTATAAATCTGATAGCTATGATCCAAAGTATCTCCATCAATGCTTTGATAATCTGCAAACATAACAAGAACTCCTACATAATAAAAACATGTTAGTATTTGGATAGATCTTCCTCTGCTTTTCCTGAAGGCTTGTTGATGATCAATTAAGTCTATGAACTTCATCAATTAAGCACTCTTTGGGTAGATTCCAATCCACCACTACTCTTCTAGTTCTTTCGGTATTTTTAAAATGAAGGTTGCTTAGTCTAAGTCTAACAATCTCTATGACTTGCCGCTTCACATACTCCAGCCTCTTGTGTTTTCTTTGAAAAATACGTTGATTTCTCTCTTGCCATACTGCATAGACAAAAGCCCTAAGGAGAAGTCTACCTATTATAGCTTTAACTTTCTGTCCTTTGAAGATTCCCAAAGACCAAGCTGCAATATTTTCCCAACCATTCATAGGAGACATGAATTTGCCTTTGACCTGTGCATTCCTCCAAATGGCTTGTGAAAATGGGCAATCGAAAAAAAGGTGGTCATTTGTCTCATTATTATTGCCACATAAAACACATGATGGATCCTCGGAACCACTCCACGCCTGCATCCAGTCTTTGGTTAGAAGTTTCTTTTGAATGGCAAGCCATAATATAAAGGCATGCCTTAGGATACTAGTGTTATTCCAAACAATAATAGCCCAGGGTACCTTAGTATTCTCCATTAACAAATCCTTCCATGTTTGAGATGAGAAGAAATTAGTTCAACGTCCATCAGCCGTCTTCCAGAAAGTTTCATCTTTCCATAGGGACCCTGAAATAGAAGGAACTTGGTTCACAACATGAGGAAACCTATCCCTAATGATATCTGGCCATCTCCACTGCTCATTAACCAAAATATCACTAACAGTTCCCCTATGTCCCAAACTTGAGCTATAGAACACCCTATGAGGAATAATATGATGAAGTGGGCCTAAGGAGTGCCAAGAGTCAAACCAAAGGGAGGTGGTTCTACCATCAACAATGTTGACGCCAATATGTCTCTTAACCAAGTCCCTTATCGAAAGAATTTTGCGCCAGCTCTAGCTAGCATCCCAAGGGATTTTTACACTCCAAAAGTTGCGACCACGGAGCTATATATGTGAATCCCTTTGACCCATAATGTATCTTTCCTAGACGCAACATTCGAGACATGATACGTCGATATATTCCAAATAGCCAATCGGCGGATTCCCAGACCTCCCTCTAATTTCAGAGAGCATAAATCCTTCCAAGCCACCTTGGCTATACCTTTGCCCAAATCACAACCAGACCAAAGAAAGGTTCTGATGATCTTCTCTATAGCCTTGGAAATAGAGGAGGGAAGAATAAACACCGAAGCCCAATACACCTGCATGGAAGAAAGAATGGATACAACTAGTTGAAGTCTACCAGCATACAAGAGATACTTGTTCTTCTAGGAAGATACCATTTTTTCACCTTTTTAATGAGTGGAATACATTCTTTATGGTACAAGCGAGTAGTAATCAAGGGCACACCTCGGTACGTAATAGGAAGTTGACACATCTCAAAACCCATAATGTTTTGGATACGAGTACTATCTTAGTGATTAATGTTGCACATGAAAATGGAACTTTTAGACTAGTTGGGGTAAAGACCAAATATAGCCGAAAACTCACTCAAGGCATTCTTCAGAATCTTGATTAGTGTGGGATCTCCATGACAAAACAAGAATAAGTCATTAGCAACATAAAGGTGAGTAATATTCTAGGCTATACATCTAAAATGAAACTAGAAACCTTCCTCTTCGCGAACACGTCTGTGAATGATCAACGAAAGAACCTACATCACTAGAGTAAAAAGATAAGGAGACATAGGGTCACCTTGCCTTAATCCCCTTTTCCCTGGAAAAAATCCATGGAGCTCTCCATTAACAGAAATACAGAAAGAGGATGTGATAATGCATTCTCAAATCCACCTGATCATCTGGGCGGGAAAGCCAAACATATGGAGAGTTTGAACCATAAAGCCCCAATCAACACAATCATAAGCTTTTTGAATATCAACCTTGAAGGCACATCTTGCAGCTCCACTATTTTCATGGTAATTCTGAAATAGCTCTTGTGCCAATAGCACATTATTAGTAATCCTTCTTCCCGAAACAAAGGCAGTCTAAGTCTCATCAACCAAATCAGATAGACAGCTTATCATTCTATTAGAAAGTATTTTTTATATGCAATTGTACAGCACGTTGCAATAGGAAATGGGCCGAAAGTCATTGACTCTGAGAGGGAACTTTCACTTTCGGGACAAGAGCGATAATTGTAGCATTAACCTCTTTAAGTAACCTGCCATTGTTAAAAAAATCGATAACAGCATTTGAGATTTCCTCCCCCACAATATTCCAAGATTATTTGAAAAATTTCACTGAATAACCATCAAGCCCTAGAGCCTTGTCATCTCCAATATCAAAAATGACCCTTTTGACCTCTTCCATAGTCACTAGACGAATCATTAGATCACACTGATGCTCAGAGACTTTCTTGGTAAATATATCTTCAAGACCATGCATAGAGACAACTTATGGTGTTGTACCAAGAAGGTTTTGGTAATAGGAAACAAAGGCATCCCCAACTCAGTCCCCTCGATAATTTCTCATGAATCATTAATAATTTTACTCACTCTTCTACAATTAAGGTTAGCACGTAGAGATTTATGAAAAAAAAGCCGTGTTTTGATCCCCCACACTTAGCCATTGAATCTTAGATTTCTGCTTCAGAAATCTGTCCTCATCTAATAGAGCTTCCCTAAAAGCTCCAAAGAACACAGCTTCACAATCTCTAAGCTCTTGATTATGAGGGTCCACATCTAAAGCTCTCTGAATTTGTTCCACCTCCTGCCTCAAAACTAAAACTTTCTGATTGAGATGAACTTGTTTACGATTGAGAGCTTGTAAGCAAGGCTTGAGGGCCTTAAGTTTCTTGGAGATTGAAAACATAGGAACACCAACACTATCCATAGACCATATCCTTTGAACAAGGGGCTTGAAATCCTCTTTAAACACCAAATAGTTAAAAAACTTGAACGGTTTCGGTTTCAATGCACCAAGAAAAGGGAAAGAAGTAACCAAAGGGTTGTGGTCACTAATTCCCGAAGGCCAAAAAAAAGTATTGACTTGGGGGAATTTAGAAAGGAAATGATAATTGCCCATAACTCTATCTAGTTTTCGCAAAACCCCGTTGTTGCCATAAGGCTTACCATTCCATGTGTACATCATACCTACTTTACTTATATGCTCCATCTCCAGAGTCCGTACACAGGCTCGAAAATCTTGCATACCGACCAAAATAGACGGAGAGCCCCCTACATTTTCATTTGGATTAAGAGTAATATTAAAATCACCCAATATCAACCATGGTTGACTAGCTATACCCTTGTTAAGATGACAAAGATTCCTCCAAAGCTCCTTTCTCGCTATATAATCATTGGCAGCATAAATGAAGGAATAGCGAAAATCTTCTCCAACACTAAGTATTCTAACTATACAGTGAATGGCTTGATCCGTCATCTCTAGAACACACACATTGTAGATAGCTGGATTCCATCCTATACCAATTCTACAACCACGGGTTCCTCGATCAACATTAGACACCCATTGCCAACTTCTAAAGACACACTCAAAAACTCTGTTTACTTTAGGACTAGCCATCCTAGTTTCCAAAAGAGCACATAACCCAATCGGCTTCTCCCTTAAAAACACCCGAATTTCTTCCTATTTATAGGCTTGGTTAAGGCCCCTAACATTCCAGCAAGCTAAACTAGTCATGGGAATGAAGATTGGTAGGGGTAATTCCTAAACCTCCCCTTTGGTCTTGAATCATCTCATTGTTACTATTTTCTGTCCCTACTTTTAAGAAACCCGCCATTGATACTACATCTAATTCCATATATGTTTCTTCTGCAAAATGTTCACAGTCTATTTCCATGCCATACTCCACCTCTGTACCTTTAGTGCTAGGTTCCATTGCAACCTCGATTCCCACATCCTTTGGATTCGCTGAGCTTGAAGCTAAAGTTTGGAAAGAGTTACTTAATTTAAAAACATTTTGTCGAGCCTTGGGTTGGTTTGGGCAATTCTTCGTTGAGTCATTCTCTACCACTCTTTTCCCTTGTGGCTTTTCTACTATATTATTCATCTTACATTTATCTGACTGAACTACTTGAGAATCTTTCCCTCCCACCTTTTGCTTTACCCCTATCTTTCCTTTCCCTTTTCGTTGAACAAGCTGGAGTCCATCTTTTTCATTCTCCTTAAACTGAATTTGGTGATCTTCTATAACTTGAGACTCAATTTGAGGGATTTTTGAACAAACAGCTTCTCCATGACCAAAGACGCAACAATGAGAGCATCGGGAAGGTCTCCACTAATATTCTACTCATACAGCCAATTCCTTGGACAATTCATTTTCCTTACAAGGCATTAAGATAGTTATAGACTCTTATAGCTTGCGGCATGCCTCTACCTCAACAAGAATTCGAGCGTATCTTACACATCCGGTACCTAGCCGACAAGTGTCTTCAGTAATGTGATCCATTCTTAAAGGCTTACCCACACCACTTGCAATATAACATAAACCTTCCTGAGTCCACAATTCTAATGGGACATTGTACAACTTGACCCACAATGGTACAGAGCATGGAGATTCTTTGCCTAACTCCATTTGTGGTTGCCATTTTTGAAGAAGAATAGGCCGACTTTGAAACAACCAAGGGCCATCCTCTAGATATTGAAGCATAGCTATCTCCTCCTCAAACTTGAAGAAGAAAATTCCTTTATCATTCATCATAACTTCCTTAATTCCATATCTCTTCCATAATCTCATGGCCAACATTTGGACAACATGGAATGGAGGTTTTTTTTCAATGAAATACCCTACCAAACAAATTTCCCACCTTTTTCTTCCCTCCAATGCAACCTCCAAAGGCGGATGAACAACTATGGAACCATCCTCTCTAAAAATTGGCTTGTGATATTGCATGGGGACTTTTTACCAGATCTTTCGATCAGTAGCTATACGCGCCCAACTTAGCTTCTGCCCCTCATTCTCTCACTCACACCTTGGTTGTCTACTTCCATCATTCTCTAAGAGTCTAATTGACCTTTAGAAGAATGCAGGTCGGAGAAATTTAGTCGATTGTTAGAAGGTGTAGGAGCCTCCTGTCTACCCAAAAAATTTACCATTTCTCTACTTTGATCAGTCGGGCCTTTTTGCACAACTAATTCATTCACATGAGCTTGACCCATTTCATTAAATTCGATATTAACACTAAGTCCACTAAGAGGTGAGTTTAAATACGTTTGGGCTTGAGGATTAGTCAGCCCACTTCCATAGGAGTCCTGCCCATTTAGACCATTAAGTTGCATTCCTTTTTGGACATTGCCTCGACCTATCCCAAGAAATCAGGTTTGGACCCTCCACTGATCAGACCTGAACTCCATTTCACCCATATGAGCCCTGCTTGTCCCCACCTTCCTTTCTCTCCCATTGACCACCATGGATTTGCCTCCACCAATCGCCTTAAGACCTCTATTCTCAAATCCAACCACAAGGGAGTGAACCTTCCCATGAATTGGACCTTCTTTAACTCTGACATTGGAGTCAAACTCAGCCAAAGTCTACTCTTGCATTTGTCAAATTAATCTCAATCTTACACCCTTCATTCATAGAGATTACTCCAGCAGTATCATCTCCTTTGTTAGACACAACTAACTCTTCCTCCATCAGCTTTCTAATCCCTAATTTCAGTTCCCTTCGTGCGTTCTGGTTCTTCACTCCCAGCTTGCCTTTTTCCCCTTTTCTTGCCTTCATAATTTGGTCGCTTTTAGTCGCCAGAAACCGGCACATGCCATGAACAAAAATCAAGATCTGGAGCGAGTTACTGTAGCGCCAAGAAAGAGAGCGAGTTGCGAGTGTAGGACGCCGAATGCATAATTTCGGGAATCCATTATAAATTATGATAAAATAATAAATAATTAAATAATAATATGAATAAGAGATGATATTGAATAATGTAAATAAATAAATTATAATCTAAATAAATTATAAATATAAATATAAATTGAATTGAAGAGAATATGAATGAGAATTGGATTGGAGTAGAGAGATTGAGAGTTGGTGTGAAAAAAATGGAGGTGTGGGGGATTATTTATAGTGTAGGTTTGGGGGGAAAATGAAAAAAAAAAAATTCCACCCTCCCCAATCGCATGATCGTTGGCTGACAACTATCATGTGCTATGTAATTCTCTTTTTTTTTTTAAAAAAAAAAAAAAAATTGTAAAATACTATTTAACCCTTAATATTTTTGTAAATTTCAAAATTTACAAGGGGTTTTTGGATATTTTCTAGGGGGCTTTTGGAAAAAAGGCAAGGGGTTTGGGCCCAAGCCTGGAATCGATCCCAGGCCTAGGCCTTGGAGGAGTGCTCGATCTAGGGACTGGTCCTTCCTAGGACCGGATTTTTTGGGCCCGATCCCAAATGCCTAGGTCTAACTTCAATTAACTTCTTCTCTTACGTCACTCTACTATACACTTGTATAAAAACTAAAGTTGTATTCGGCTGTAATCAATCAAAAAATAGTTTTTGCACTACTCTTGAATTCTTTATCAATTTTTCGATTAGTTTCAAAATCTCACATTGTATCAAAGCCACGACAAACTTCAATGGCTGAGAATCATAAACTTTCTCAATCACTTAATGATAATCCTATTTTTTATAGTGTTTTTGCATCATATTTCAATAGGATTTAGGATATTTCTCACGCATTTTGAGCTTCAATGAATAGTAATTCCTTGTTTTTTCACTTTGTAGTATCAGATGATATTTGAAGCAAAAATGGAAATTTTAAGCTTTTCAAACTTAGAAAATGATCTGGAATTAGAGAATTTGAAAAGTTCTAAGGCTGAATAGAAGTGTTCTTAAAGACTTGTTTAGACAGAAGACCAAAGAAATGAAGATTCAAGTTCAGAAGCAAGCAAAAAGGCATTTTCATAAATTTTCTAGAAAAGCTTGATTTCACAGTGGTAAAAATAAATTCTTGCCACAACGAAGAAAGAATCAAAATGGATGAAGCCAAGGTCGAAGCGATCTTAAATTGGCCAATTTTAAAGAGCATCCACGATGTTACGAGTTTTAATAGGTTTTGTCGTTTTATTGATGATTAATTCAAAACTTCAATAATATCATCGTGCCAATCACTAAATGTTTGACTGGTGGAAGATTTGAGTGGATCGAGGAAGTGAGAAAGCATTTCAGTTTTTAAAGACAAAAGTAAGTGCTCATAATGCCAAATTTCAAGGAGATGTTCAAAGTACATTGCAATGCTTGTGGAGTAGGAATAGGGGAGTTCTGAGTCAAAAGACCCAACCAATCATATTTTTTAGCGACAAGTTGCATGAAGCTCAGAGGAAGTATTCGACCCATGAAAAAGAGTTATATGTGATCATGAGAAGTTTAGAACATTGGAGACACTACTTGTATGCCAAAGAGTTCGTGCTACATTTAGATCACGAATCGTGAAAGTACATCAACAGACAACACAAGCTCAATTCAAGGAATGCGAAGTGGGCAGAATTCTTACAAGCTTTCATGTTTGTTATCAAGCAATAATTTGGAGTGATGAATAAGGTCGTTGATGCCTTAAGTCAAAGACATGCATTGCTCATAATTATAGAAGTACGGGTAAAAGAGTTTGTACAGTTTCAGGGATTGTACCATGATGACCCATATTTTGGAAGTATTTGGGAAAGATGCCAAGAGCAACCATATCAAAAGTTCTTGCTGCATGAGGGTTATATCTTCAAAAGAAACAAACTTTGTATTCCTAATTGTTCGTTGAAAGAAGCAATCATTGAAGAGACTCATGGTGGAGGTTTAGCTAGTCATGTTGGGAAGGACAAGATGATGGTCATGATCAACAAACACTTCTTTTGGCCTCGCATAGAGAAAGATGTGATGAGGTATGTGAAGTGATCTTAGAGATGCTGACTAGCAAAGAGTCAAAATGCCAACAACGGACTATATACTCTGTTACCAGTTCCTATGGCACTATGCAAAGATCTTAGCCTGGATACTGTGTTCAGTTTATCGAGAACTCAAAGGAAGAAGGATTCAATCATGATAGTGGTTGATTGCTTTCAAAATCGCACACTCCATTCTATATGAAAAGACCTTTGATGCATCACAAATCGCAAGACTATTTCTACAAGAGATCGTCTATTTGCATGGAGTTCCAAGATTGCTCACTTCAAATCACGATGTCAAATTTGTGAGCCACTTTTGTAGAACGATGTGGCAAAAGATGGGGACGAAGTTACTGTTAGAGTAGGTGCATTAGAGCCAATATTATTTGTAATTTTGACTCTTTGTTATATCATGTTAAATATAATAAAAGGTATATTTTCTATATCAATTGATTCATATTATTCTATGTATCGATATATGTCCTTAGAGTGGTAGAATCGTGACGAGAGAATCAAGTGTTTTAAATCTTGATTGTGAGGCCCTATGGTCACATATGGTGGTCATTCTAGAAATATCTATAGCCTTAGTATTGTTCTAATCAAGGGCACAGATAATACAGTAAGACTATCATAGTATTAGACAACCTTATCCAGAGGTAGTGACATATCTCACATGTCAAAGTTGTTTG